AGCAGCCAAAGCGGCAGTGGCAGCAACCACCGAAAATCTTTGCAAAAGTAGCGAAACGGAAGTGGAATTAAAAACGCGACGCATTTGAGAAGGGACACCTTGCTGTAGCAGGAGTATGCGAGAGGGAGTTGGCTCAGAGGGGTGCGTCTGCCACCGGCAAGCAAAAGGGGTGCAGCAGACGCGCTCTGCGGCCTCTGGTCACATAGCAATGTGGCCTTTCATGTTCGTACGGGAAATTAGGATTGCACAAAAACGGGAAAAAAATAAGCTAAAAGGATTTTTCAGTCCACAGGCAGGCCGATTTAAACATCGAGCAGGGGAGTACGAGTTAGGAGCATATATAAATTAATCGTATACTCAATGCTCAGTCAGACATTTTATTGCAATTTCAAATATTTCCATCAATGTTGCCGGGAACAACGCACGTGCCCGGCGCGGCCAAGGGACGGGGTCGCATCTATCCGCTTATTAAAAATATTTGTTTGGGTTTTGTATCTGTCGGATGGCATTGTCTTGCCTAATGATGTTTACGACTCGCTCGGGCATATAATTACATTTTCAAACTGCACATTTTTCAACCTCGACGCACATTAAACACACATGTCCAAAGCTTATTTTGGGGAGCGACCCCAAGACCCACGAGAAATAAAGTTGCGACAGAGAATGGCAGTTCCCTGTGAAACATGAGGTTGGTCATGGTCTACTGTTACCTTCAGTGAGATATGATTTGTGTTAACTGAGTTTCCTTTATAAGAATAAATACTGTTTATTTCTGTGTATAAACATTTCGGCTTATGTTCACATTCCTTCTAGAATTGTTTTCTTATTTACTATCTCATTTTATTGATTTATTTAATTTGAATGGGTTTTGAATCTAACAAATAAATAACATTATTAGATGCTGATTGTATATAAGATTTTATGCATGAGATTTATTTTTATTTATTTATGCGTAGCTCATAACTTCCAAATAAATATATTTACGGGGTCCAAAACTTTCAGTGGAATGGGCAGTTGTAAATTGAATTGTTTCAGTAACAAATAAAATAATTAATTTACATTCCATACTGTATTCTATTTTTTTAAATACTTTTATGCTGCCCAAGTTTTCACAGTTTCGCTGTTTTATTACTAACTTTAGCTTAACAGTCTTGAAATGCGTATCTCAACTATTGATTAGAAGACTATACGACTAATTTGAAATGCTATGGGATTCTAATAGCAGCAGCTTAGTGGCGCCTCTCTATGCGCTTCTCACACGCAGCTGTCGTTTATTGCCTCCGTCATGTGGCATACAATTGCAAATCCAATTAATTTACGAACTAGTCGAAGCAAATGTGCTACTAACTGAGACATAAATAGCACAAGACTAGACACGTGTATCCAACAGATACTCAGATAGCCGCCTCTCCAGCTCCATCTGTATTCGCCTCGCCAATACCTTTTATAGCTTGTTCTGTCTGCGTGTGTTTCTGAATTTAAAGTGCTGTCTCTGAGTGTTGACAACGTCTTTGGGATCGCTTCGAGTTTTCGTCTAAATGTGTGTGTCTGTGTGCGTAGCTCAAGTTGACAAATGTACAACAATTAAGTGAGAAGTTTTGGGGATGCGGCTGATGGTGCTCCTAATGCTGATGATGCTGCCTCGAGGTTGTCAGGGAAATTGAAAAGTGAAACCTGCCGCGCATCAAAATTTTGGTCGGATTTATGTCACAAGTTTTACCGGGAAACTAACAAAAACGAAACCCACATCAACATCAATTTCACTTTAATGTTTCCCGTGCATAAAAAAGCGTACACACATAAAAACTTGAAGAAGAGAAATTATGCTAATAAATCGCAGCGACACGTGTCGTTGTACTCTCCACCTAATGGACATGCGCCACGAAATATGCATTGAATATTTTTTAACATTGTACACCCCGAGCTGCCACTGGGCTGCATTCCAGGCCAGGATTATGAACTGTGCCCGCCTGGGCGCTGCACGTGGTGTTTACACATCATTTACATAAAACGAGCAACAACTTTTTGCAATTTCTTGACAAAAATTAAAAAAAAAAACCGAAACAGCCAAAGAACGGAAGAGGTCGGGTTGGAAAAACCTGCACAACAAAGTTGTTAATTATACTTGACTGGACGACAAGCCCAACCTCCTATCCTCCCAACCCCCATCGCAGGGCCGCAACGCTTTGCCCAGTCAAGCGCTGATAATACAGCGACGGCCTAGGGGTTGGGGTGGGCGCAGTGGGGGACAGTTGAGTAAGGAACTGCTAGGAACCTGCCCGTTTATGACGTGCCCGCAAGAAGAAACCATTAATCAGCGCCTCGGTTAGACCGGGTTGCTCTTACCTCAACGCGACTTGACGCTGTTCGGAGTGGGTCGTTTTTTTTCTTCTTCTTCTTTCACTAGCTCCCTTTCTCGCCGATTCTCATTATTTGTTGCCGGTCGCGTGCGTAACATTTAGCAACACAATTCGAGACCAACCAACGATTTTCAGATAAAGACCATTTAAGTGCAAGGAAAAAAATTGTATTTTACCTAATTGCAGTAATTAATGAGTTTAGTTTACATTTTTGATGAGCCATAATTGAATGACGGGGTGAGGCGAAGGGAGTGGTGCTGCAATAATGCGCTGATTGATAGTTTGGATGAGATAACAACTTTCATGCACAGCAATGTTTGTAACTATTCATGGTGGTTATAAATTTTATCAGAGATAAACAACAAAAGTATCAACAGATATAGGGAGAAGTATTATGAGCAGCTAGAGTTAATATTCGTTCAAGCAAATCATTTCTTTGTGTATTGAAAATAAAAAGGTGGAGAATGTATTTAAAACAGAAGCTTCTATTTAATATACCTATCATTGATATATTGCTATAATTAAAAAATGTCAATGGGATTCTTGATATGTGCAGTGAGCAGGGTTGATTTAAATTTGATTTTGTTTTGCTTGCTTGTGTGGCCGTTCTCATTGAAGAAAATAACGCGGTCACACTTGTAATGCATGAAAGAAGTTAAGGAGCATGTGAAAAATTTTACAGAACTCGAGCCAACATAATAAAGATTTGCAAAATGGAAAGGGGGATCCAAAAACAGCATTAACAATTACATAAACGGCAATTGGAAAATGTTTACTAAGAGTTTTAGGAAAATAGTTTTTTGTGCTTTCGCACATTTGTTTACCAGGGTCAATCAGCTGCTCGGGCAGGCTGCCTACTGTTCACGAAATCTTAATCAAATCTGAATCAGTTTCCATAATCAATTTATAACCAAAATATAATCAAAATTTCAAATGATAATAAAATGTATATATGTATGTATATAGTTATATTTGTTCAACTAATTACAGCTTATTTGCCTTTCTCTTTCATTTCAGCCTTACTTTTTTAAATGTTGCCGAATTCTCAATTAATTTGGATAAATATTTGAAATTTTCCTTTTAGTTAGGCAAAGCCTGAAGATATTTTTAGTTTTTATTCAATTTCACACACGATTAATGAAGGAAATGTTTATATAATGTAATCTAGAGTAAACTAGAATTAAATGTTGATAAAAAATACTCGATATAATGCCCATATTTACTCCGTAAACAATTCTGGCATGAACATATAAATTCAGCGCTCTGTAAATAACAAATCGATTGCAATTCAGCTCAAGTAATTGCAGAAGGGCACAAAAGCGGCCATTAAACTAATTGCATGCAATTCAAATTTTATAGCAGACATTGCCAAAATGCCAATGTTTAATATGCATATAAGAATAAATGGTCATCGTAGCTCCACAATTGCCCTCCGACCATTCAAATGAACTTGACAAAAGAGCAGCAGCAACAGCAGCCGCAGCAGCTGAGACTGAAGCCACACTCCGCATGCCATTTGACCTGGGCCCCAACATATGGAAAATCAAAAGCGGCAAAAAGCGAAAGCAAATTGCTTGGAGGGTCGCTGCCAAACCACCTGTGCGCAGCAGCACCACCACCACCGCCACCTTTGCGGGCTGCACGAACAGCAATCAACCCCCCGCAATGGCAAAAGCAAAGCACATTTCATACGAAATTAAATTAGAATTTTCGGTAGTTGTTTGTCTATTTTGCTCTCTGTCTGTTTGTCTGTTGCTCTCTCTTTCTAAATTTGAATAGACTGTAAAAGGAAATTGCAGCACGCACGCACATAAAATTTTCCTCAACAAAAAAATTAAAAACATGAATATGCGAATAGCAAAAGATCGACTAACAGATATCCTGTAAAGAGGCTTAAAGCAACGCAATTTTAAATATAATTTAATTCCTTTTTATATGGTTTTATTTACTTTTAGCACTGAAAAACTCGAGATAAAATAAAAAATACAAAATCCAAAAATATATTAAACAAAATAACGAACAGAATTACGTGCTTTGCGGATCTTTAACGCCAGAAAGAAAATGTGGCGAATTTTAGGGTACACAATTTGGTGATTTTAAAAATGAATGGATATGGATATTGAATAATTTTTGCTGTTGTGAAGTTTTTTGAATATTAAAAGAGAATACATAGTCCACATTTCAATTCCTATCGGTCACATATACATCCAAAACAAAGTATGATTCAAAAACAAGTTTTCTATTGTTTAAGATGCAGATACAAGCTACAGACACAAGTATTATAGACACGAGACAGATAAGATTGGCCTGATAGGCTCAACGAGCTGATACCCTTACTGACACATTTTGCCCGAGCACAGGGTATGAGAATATTGAAATTACACGCCGAAACATTGAAGTCAAAAATATGTGTATTTGCTCGCAAATAATAGTAGGATAGTAGTAGGAGAGTTTTTATGTCTGGCGCAGACAGGAGCACAGAGAAATGAACAAATGACCGCAGGCAAAATACACATTTCCACTCAACCGAGTGCGTGAATGAGTGTTTGTGAATAATTGTGTGTGTGTGTGTATTTCCGAGTGTTTGTTGAGGGGGGACAAGGGCGGGCAAATGCTCAAATGCCTACACGAATGTGCGCATTTTCAATTAAAATTTCTGTTTTTAATCACTTTTACCAAGCCGAGAATGCGTCCTTTGCGGAATATTATATATATATACATATGTTTTTTAAAAGTAAGGTGTCTCAAGCGATGCAATTTAATTTAATGATGACCCTGATCTTTTTAAGCGGTTTGCTTGTTAGTTGCTCAAAATATATTTATAGCCATCCGCAATGATGGTCATGTCGCTGTCAGTGCTGTCCGCCTTGTAGTCCACGTTATGCCACACATATTCCATTTGCATGGGTATACTGATTGAGACCCCACCGATTGATGAGCTGCCCGTAGATCTGGCGCCGGAGCCAGAGACAGAGTCAATGCTGGAACTGCCGCGTAGCGTATCAGAGTCGGACTCATAATCATCGTATTGCGGATCGTAGCGCACCAGCTCTTGGCTGGTCTCCTCCTGCTGGTAGGGCACCAGTGCCAGAAAGTTATCCGTGTCGCTCCTCTCATCATCGCCCTGCGTGGCCAGTTCCTGTTTGTCAGCGCTTAAAGTTTCTTGGCTGCCGCACAGATAACTGCTGCTAATTAGCGAGGGCGAATCGCTGAAGCTCTCCATAGATGCCGACTCCGATGCCAGGATTGTTAGGGATGGCTTCGCATCGCTGGGCATCTGATAGTTCATATGCGGCACTGTGGGCGGCAAATCTGCCTCCATGGGCCTAAAGTCCGTATTTCCGCCGGCTTTAAAGCGGACTGGATGGCAGGGCGCACGCTCCACATACAAGGGATTGTGACGCAGCAGCTCCTGCAGCATGACGAACGACTCACGCATTTCCCTTATCTGGGCCGGACTATAGGTCTTCCATAGTCGAGAATTGGGCTGCGACAATGCGTTGATCAAAAAGTCCAGATCTTTTTCCATGAATTTCGTTAGAGTCGCCGGGCCAAAATTATTTCCAAATTGTGCTTACTACGAAACTGTAATTTTATGAACTTGACAAAATGACACACAGAGAAAGGGAAAAATTGGAGCGAATATATATGTGTACTTTATAATCTGGGTACACAATATGTGTAAATATATTAACAGCATGTGACAATTTAGTAAATTTTTGAAAGGGATTAGTTTGTAAAAGAGAACTAGATATGTTTACACATATTTATAGAAATAAAAGAGATATGGCAAGAATAAAAATTAAGAAATACTTAAAGAGCTTCAATAAGTGTTAAAATTTGAACCAACTGCACAAAAGGAGACTTTCTATAGATAAAAATGTAAATTAAAATCTTATCACGTTACATTAAAACGTCTTATTATTTGCATGAATATATTCTGATATTTACCATTCTTAATAAGAAGAAACTTTACATAGAAATTAAAAACATTTTCTGTGAAAAATCTGATAAATGTTTAGGAAAATATCTTTATTATTTCTTATAATATTATTGGCGATTTATGAAGTATTATATTGGCAAGTTTTAATAGAATTTTGGTTTTGGTTTTTACAGCAGTAAGGGTTTTAAAAGATAAATGCGTAAGTATGACTAAAAACAATGTAATTTAATAACAAAATTACAAATTGTATAATTTTGTTATTAAACATATTTTCAAAATTAAACATTTGAAGCACTATAGATTTTAAAATTAACATTTAAGAATATTTCCCATACAAATCCCAAGTTTAAGGCATACGAATATTTCCCATACAAATCCCAAGTTTAAGGCACCTGAAAACTCATATTGTTATATTCATATTTGTAATTAGTCCATTTGTTTATCCTGCCACATACAAATGCAATAACAACATTTAAGTTAGTTAATATTTCAAACCCATTCTGCAAAACTTATTAAGTAACCAATTTAAAGAACAAATTGTTCAAATTGTTACGCACAACTCAAAGGCAAAATGTTTTACATAAAGCACTTGCATCCTGCCCTCGCCCAGGTCTCAAGTGGTTTCTCATGTGGACAGCAAAATGCACAACAAAACTAACAACAGCAACAACAACAATAACAACAGCTTTAATAAGAGGAAGAAAACTAACTTGGAGCAGTTTACATTCAACCAGTCTCTAAAATAATACAATTTTCCTCTAAATTTAGTCAAAGATGCCACAAAAATAAACCCTAGTCTCAATGTCTTATACAAATGCAAATGTCCTGTCGCATGGACACATGACGAACATTGTCCTTCGACCCGAACTGCGTGTCGTTTCTTACTTGAAGCGAGCCCAAGTGTGTCTGGAGGGATGTGTGTTTGAGTGTGTAACGTTAGTTGCCTCAATGGTGAGCTCTTATGCCCAGTTAACAAGCTGGCAGCAACCAGGCCAAAGGAGCTAGAGGTAGCTGCAAGTCGTGTCTTTTTAGAGCACGCACGAATCAAAACAGGTTCGTGTTAAGGTAAGAAAAACAAGAGCACGAGTCAAACAGATGAGCATACAGATATCGATAGGTTTATCGATATTTCTTAAGAATATAGTGTATGCTATGAATAATAAATATTTGTTTTGACACCCTTTTTTTGATTATAATGAATATAAAATAAATGAAGAACAGCAATACAAGGACACGACTGCTCAAGTATTTTCTGGTGAAAATTACCTAACTTTTGCTTGAAATAAACGTTTGGTCACACTTAATATGAGTGAGTGCTTATGGTACGCACACGTGTGCCACTCAATCCAAATAGAGAACTCTTATTTTAGACTAGAACAAGGTTGTGATTGCTGTATCGAGTTCGTGTCACTTCGTGTCGTATTACATATGTAAGTGTGCAACACGTGCCCATCGCTAATGCAGCCCCTGCTTATAGTATATGTGTGGCCAGATCTTTCATAGTCCTGACTCAGTGTGCTTGTTTATTTGTTTACTTTTTGCCATTTGGTTGTGTGCAAGTTTTCTTCTTGGTTTCTTTCATGTCTGTCTATGTTGTTTTTTTATATCAAGCGTTCGTCTTTATTTATTTTTTTTTTCTTCTTTTTTTTCTCACACTGTCATGAATATTTTCATATATTTTCATATTTTCATATGGCTGCATGTGACTGGCTCGTCTGCCGCTGCTCTTACGAATTTTCTGCCTTATCCTGGCAATTGTGCGCAAAACTTTTGCCTGCTCTTTGGCTGCTGCTGTTAAGGACGCATGTGTAAGACCCATGTTATTTAATAGGCTTTTGTGACTCTGCTTCAAGTGGCTGCCCCGCCGCGCCCCGCCCCATGTTTACCCAATGTTTGTCTTGTCTGTCTGGAGAGCTGCCTTTGAGTCGCATTTCTCTACTCCCCATGTCCTTGCCCTGAGTGTATGCACAGTGACTGCCGTTTTCTTGGTAATGTGTTTAGATTATTAAACATATTTGGACTGTTAACTTGATGGAAGACTTTAAAGTGCTCGCACGGGAAGTACAATCTTCCAGAAACTTAAAACGTTTCATTATAATATTCTTTGAACTATTGTCTTATATTTTTCTCGTTTTTAAACATACAATTTGATAAATATAATTAATTTGTTGATTATTTTGTAAGGAAGGATAGACAAAAATGTCAGTGTTATATAAGTCGCAGATACAATCGTTCTATTCGAGTGTTTACTGTATTTCCAATCTATATAGAGCTTCGTCTTTAAGCAATTAAGCGCTTTGCGAAGTGCTTATAAAAGTAACTTAGGCTCTTAAAGTGTTTCATAGGAACACAACTGCTTGTAAGTAGGTCAAGCCATTAAAATTGCTACTAAACACACACTAACACACACCCACACACACACACACTCACCCCCTGAGTGCAGATTTATGTATTGCGTGGTGGGAGTTTCGCTCTTACATGTTTTTTCCTGTCGTTGTTTAATCGTTAAAGTCCTTTTTTGTTGCCATTGCTTTTGGTTAAAGTTGCAGGCAAAGCGTTGACATTACAAGCAAAGGGGGAACACACACCCCCTTCCCACCAACACACACACACCCACGCACACTCTCAGCCACATATGAAGCCATAACAACAGAGGGCGCCACCTGCTACTTGGCAGTTGCTTTAGTTTGACTTGTTTCCTCCCCCCCCGCTGTTTGAACAACGCAAAAGTTGCCTGCTAAATGCTTTCTGATTGTTATTTCTCGTGTTTTCGCTGCGCTCCAGTGTTGCCACATCCAAATTACAATTATTACATGCCACTGCTTCCACAGCACTCCCCACCCCACCGGTTGCCCCCACCTACTTTTGGAGTTTCCTTCAGCTTCTGCTGCTTTCTACCGAAAAACTTTCAACTTGAAGTTTTGCTTCTTGATTCTGGAAATGCTAAATCTGGTAATGTAGGCGTGTTTAACATAAACTTAAGCTGTTTGTAATGACTTGGTAGCGTTTTTTGGGCAACTCCTTGGCTGCCTGGGCCGCATCCGGCGTGTCCTTTAAGCCCAGTGCGCTAAGCAAATTTAATGAAAAAACTTTATGACTCAGAGATTGCATGGGATTACAATTGAATGCTGTGGTCAAGGCAAAAGAGTTGGAATATTTTTATAATCACTGGCAAAAGTGTTGAGCAAAGTAAATGCAAAGATAATTCGCGCTGGCAAAGAGGAAACTTCTTAAGGGGAAACGTTTTAAAGGTTTTTTTTAAGATATTATCAAAAACTGTGCTGTTAGATATTCTTCGTGAATAATTAGCAGGAGAGCTAATGAAACGCAATTTAGAGCTTACTTAAGCATGGTGCAATTTTAATAAGTGGCTTAAATATAAATATTAAAATGTAATATTAACTATTAAGTTCCAATTAACGTTGAAGCTAAGGCGAATTTTAAATAATTGAAATACTAGCTGAACTTTTAAATATGAATGAACTTTTAAATATGAATGAAAGCCAGCAATGTTTATTTCCAGCGTTTCGCTGTTCACTTGCTGTGTAATATTAAATACCAATATATAATTTACTTTCAAAAATGCAAATACATTGTATTATCTTATGCACGAACTTTTGTACACTGTATTTTTTAAAGGTATTATTTTAAAATTCACCGCAATGAGATATATGAAAGCCCTCAAATTTTCCGTATTCTCTAAAAATTATCTAAATTATTTTCCAGTGTATCAAATTTTTCTTGAGCCTATCCGATATTATGCCTACTTTGAGGAACCTAAGCAGGTTTTCTTTAGCTGTTCATAAGTGATAAGAGCGCGAAAAAAAAGCCAAATCGTATCATTAACTGTCGAAAAGAATAAAGAATACCTTTTGCCGGATAAGCAGCTCATTACTCAAATGCAGGCCAATGAAAATAAAGGCCAGAAAGAAGCTGGCAAAGGGCAAAAGGGGAAAGGTAAGGTGAAAAATGGACGCCAGCCTGTGTGTATGTGCTTTGGTTGTGATTTACAGCGCCTGAGGCAAGTGAGTAACTGCGTAGAAGAAATTGCTGGGCTCAGCAAACGGCAGGCTGACAATAAAACATAATAATAATTTGTTATAAAAAGCGAAGCGCACATAGAGATAAACAAAATAAATGACAAAAGCATGTCAGCACAAAAAAAAAGAAGTATATTTATAAGGAACAATGAAAGAGAAAAGCGAAGAAAAGAAAACTCGAATTCGCTGCAAAAAACAACAAACTAAAAGACAATTTTTGGGTTACCCTCTGCGTTTGCCCTGCGACTTGTGCAACCCTCAGCAGTTTCTATTTTTTCTCGATTTTTTTTTACGCAGCTCCTACTAGAGACATTTGCATAAATTATCATTTGTTTAACATGCCCAAGCATCCCCTCCGTAAAAAAAAAAAGATGTATATAAGGAGTCGTATTGGAGATACCTTGAAATGGTAATGGAATCAACGCGGGCTGCTGCTGGCTGAGTTTCTGTCTAAAAGGCAAATTGGTAATAAAAGCCAAATGCATAAAATAACATAAAACAAGAATTTATGTGTGCACAGTACAACAACAGTAACAACAGCAACAACAACAAATGACAACAAATATCAAGCAAATTGCAATAAAATGCAAATTTAAAAGCTAAAGACGAATTGAAATGCGCCTTAAAGTCGACTACAACCAACATTTTCGTTGAAGTTTTAATATTTTATGCTTAATTTTGTTGAAATTTACCATCAAATAAAACAACATGAAGCGATGGTAACCGCAAGAAAGGTTACCAACGGCATGCCGAATACCAAATACCCTTCCACGGCAACTGACAATTGTGATATATTAAATTCTTGTAGTTATATTTAAAGTTTTGTCAACTTATTGAAATACATAACTAGTTGGCTTGGTCAAGATATCTGAATAATGGAAAGTTTTTTTGTAAGCGAACTTAATTTTTGACCGATAGTTACTATGACAGCTTTATTATACTATATATTCATTGATATTAAGGATGCAAACCGAACATGAACGGAATCTGTTTGGAGTAACGAAATCCCGAGTTTTATATTCACCATTAAACAATTACTCGGTTGAATTGGTTGACTAAAGAAAAGCCGAATGGAAAGCATATTTTTTTTAAAACTTGTTTGGCTCAAAAATAATTATATTTTTTTTACATTTTAAAATATTTTTCCTCAATTTTTAATTTTCTTTGAAATTGTTGTAAATGTAAAATATGTTCCAGTTTCGATAAATGAGAATATATAAATTTATAATATATTAAAATGCCTAATTTTTTTAAATCATATTATTTACAAACTTGTAAAGGTCTCTGTTGCCTTATGCCCCATTTGCTTGATTAAATATTATAGATAATGTGTCGAACCAAAATGTGGGATCATAGAAGTGTCAAAAGAAGGTTTACAAAACGAGCCCTAAGATAAAACATTGATTCGAGCCGTAATCAAAGCTACGCAAGTTTATAAATAATCCAACTCTGAAGTACATGAACCCTTGAATCCGATTTCTCCTGCAGTTTATGTATTATTTAATATATTGTATTTGTGAGTTTGACAATTCGCCTTCGCTGCGTTACACATTCCCTGACAAAACTAATAAGCTCTCTGGCAGCGTATCAAAATAAGAAGGGGCGCGCGCGCCACAGGCTGGCTGTTTATTTTGACAAGGGGTCGGGAGTTGCGGGCGTTGGGCCTACCCCTACCCCTACCCGTAATAAAATGTCTCGTCTCTTTATGTTGCGGTTGCTGTTCTTCTTGCTCGTGTACGCTGCCGTTTCCAAGCAGCTGAGCACAGCTGTGAAGCGCAAGCGTTTCCGTACATTTTAATACACTTTTTGCCAGCCACGCCCCGCCCTTATGGTGCCGCCCAGTTGTAAGCAAGAGCAAAAAGCAACAGCCGCCGGGCAGGTAGAGTTTTTCTTTTACTTTTCTTTTGCTCGTTTTAACTTCCCGCCCCCTCCAAACCGCCAACAGCAACTTTTTCTGCACAATGAATTTTTGCGCATTTTCCACCTGTATGAGCTGCTGCTACCCCTCCCGCCGCCCTGTTTTCATCCCTAGCCAGTTGCAGCAGTGCAGGAAATCGATTCGTTGTGGTTGTCGCTCTGTGTAATGATAGAACGGCCAGTGCAAAAATTTCCATTTTCCATTTTATTTTCAACTTTTTTGTTGTAGTTGCGCCAAAAGTCACAGAAAGCTCTTTGCTGGTAACTATGCAAATACAAAGTAAATACCAGGGCTTAGTCATTGGCAAATTACTATTGCGCACAGCTAGGAAGAAGGGGGGCTGCAAAAGGTAGTGGCAAAGTTCAGAAATAGGCAGCCGTACCTTTCCTTGAGACTGGCTTTACAGCCAGCTGCTATTAGAGCAGCCATAGCTAAAAAAAAAAATGAGCGCAAATCTCAGTTAATCAAAGTCAACAGGAAAATCATTTGAAATGTAAATGTCAAAGTGCATAATAAATATTCTAGGGTATAAGGCTTATTTTAACCTAATGGAACAAATTGTGCGAAAATATATTTAAAATTATTTAGAAAAGTGGGTAAAGTAATTTTCTAACGTTGAAAAAATATAAGAAATATTACGACATTTTCATTTGGTACAGGTAAATAATTTGGAGAAAATGTCAAAACCAAGGATTTATTTAAAATAACTTTAAAAGTGTAAGGTATAAATATCAACATTTTTTTAGGCATTCACTAAAAATTTTTCTATATTAAAAACGATACTATACATATTGTGAATTGCGAAACATAGACATTTAGCCTTTAAATTCAAATCCTTTCTTAACTCTTTACTACCATTATATATTATATATCTGCCCGTCAGTTATTCTACCATGCATTCAAAATTTAACAGCAATTCTAAAGACCCGCACTTTATGGAAATCAAAAGTTGGCTAATGAAAATGTTCCATGTTTCAAGTAAAAACTGAAAATCTAATGTGGGTAATTATTGGCAGACTCCTATATAAAAGGGTTGTCACAGATTTATGCACGATATGGGTTGTGTTCTCCCATAGAGGGAAAGTCGAAGGGGAGGGAAAGCAAGCCCCAGTCTTGAAGCCACACAGCATAGAATTTCAATTAAAAATTAGCACTTGGTCGTTAATATAAAATATTGCTAATTAGATTGCTAGACGAGAGGAACAGTAGCGTTAACTGCCGCCTGCCGCCGACTCTATAGCATTGATTTTAACACGGTCATGAATATTAAATTACCATTTCACACATACACACACACACAGATACACATCTACACACACACTTGCACAAACGTAAAAGAGATATAGACCGAGTGTGGCGTCTTTTGCGCTCTCTGTGTAGTATTTACTCTGGTCGAGGCAAAAGTTTGTCTGCCATAAATTAAAATCCAAACGCCCAGGCAACACGCCCACAGACCATGCCACACCGACAAATGGCCCACCCACAAAAGACCCCCCAGCCTATCTCTTTCTCACCATCCCCACTTCAAGCCGCCTGCCACTCAGAATGTTGACGGTAATTAACTTTTAGGCATTTCCTATGCATATTTATAGGGAGTAAAGTTGGGGCGGGCGGGCGTTTGGCGTTTGTTGCTTGCATAATATTAACATTTACAGCAAAGGGAGGTACGGGGGGGCCGGTTGCTGGTGGCACAGAGCTATGCTGCAACGCGTTTCCGCACAAATGATGCGTACAAGGCCGAGAACGACAACAATTTTTTTTCGATTTTTTAAATTTTTTTTTACGCTTTATGCTATTTGTGGGCGTGGCACTTTCGCACATCTTCAACATTTCTGCTGCCTACTTAAAATTTCATTTTGCCAGCTGCCTTTGTCGTATATAAATAATGAATTAATCGTCAGTTTAGCTGCGCAATTTTTTTTTTTTTTTTTTTTGAAGGGTTTTCACAAGAGATTTTCAATTGTGCATTGAACTGAAAAATGCTCTGCCGATTTTTTTTATATAATACAAATTCATTCACCTATAAATTATTAATGATATATTAAAAGGTCGTTTTTGTCTGTTATATATAAGTATCTATATATATTTTCTTTAAAGGAATTTTCTATTCATTTGTTGACGGGCTGTCAAAAACAGTTGAAGCTGTAATCAATAAGTTTTGACAGTTGATGGCAAGGCAATTAGATGGAGGTTCTTTCAAGGAACAGGGACTAGTCTATAAACCAATGGCATTTAATGGATAAGCGGCAAGGTGATTTTTAATGTGTTAAGATAAAGTTATATTATATATTAGCGAGTATTACCCGGAAGTGCCTGTGGCAAGTTTTTTGATAAGCTATTTTAGATATACATTTTTTACACTCGAAATCCTCTTCTATTTGAAAATATGTTAAAAGTTCATCAAATAAAAAACCAAATGTTGAAATCAACGGCTTCGCCCATTTTAATCTTGTGGTGAGAATGGCGCTTCAATTTTTCAATCTATATTTCAAAATTTATTTATTAAATTATTGAATGTTTCTTCCTGCTGATATATATTCCTATATTACTATTACTATTTCCTTAATATCAGTAATATTCTTAGTAATATTTTAATATTTTCTAATTGATTTCACAATATTACTTTCGTTATAAGCAATATTTTGCCCATTTTATCTGCTCAGAGTGATCGCAATCTTAACTCAATTATTTTTGCGTATCGTTTGTTGCTAGCACACAAATCGAATTTGCCCAGTAGGCAAATATGCATATGCCATCCCATCAATTACCTTGGGTACACCTAACCCTGGCCCTAACGAACGCTTCACTTTAACTTTCAGTTTTAATTGGAAAAATGGCAGCAACAAGAAAAACAACAAGCAAAAGAAAGCAACAACAGGAGCAACAATATTGGCATTAAACTACACTTAAAACTCAATCAACTGCGTCTAACAATATTAAAACCGGCTCCATAGAGAGAAAGGGGAATAGATGATGGAAGTGAGCGAGTGAGAGAGAAAATGAGAGAGAGGGAAGCTGAGGAATGGCAAAAATAACGCATACGCCATGTGATGCAGCGACTGCGTTGAAATAAAGAATGCAATCAATTTGTCAACTTCTCTTTGGCTGCATGCCCTGTAACCATACAACAAAACGGGCGTATAGACTAACAGACAGGCGTTTGCTACAGACTTATTAAAAATATTTCAAAATCATATTAATATATGTATACGAACCCTTTGCCTGTGTGAAAAGCAGCAGCTGGCTTACGTTAAATAACTATTAAAGAACAGGGTATTTTTCTGTCGAGTGAAGCACTATTAATTGTTGTTGTTACATCAGTTACTTTCCTGCCTGTCTGTCTGTCTGTCTATCTGTCCGTCTGTGAGTCTAGCCCCATGTCCGCCGCGTTGTCATCACACACGTATGCCGGCAATTTATGTTGTCGTCTCCGTCTCGGCTGGTTTTTTGTGCCGCACGACGAGGACAACAACGACTTGCAGCAGTCTAGTAAATAAATTTAAAAGCGCTACAAATGGGCGACAGTGGGCGTGGCTGGCTGGCTGGCCGCCTGCTGCTTGCCTGCCTCAAGCAATTTGCCGTGTCGAGGTGACTGGGCAACATTTTGCATGCGTTGTGTTCCCGTTGATGATGACATTCAAATTTACTGTGACACTAGTAAATTCAATTAAAATGCTGTGCACTGCTTGAAATGCAAACACACACACAATAAAAGAGACACACACACACACACACACGAACATAGAGAGACACACGCACAGGCGCTTTGCCCACTAGGCGTATGCGTAACCACATTATTTTTTGGCCTAGAATTTTGAGCTGCAGTCGCCCAGGCACTTGCAGCTGTTGGCACTTAAGTGCAGTGCAGTCTAATGACTGTGCGGCCACACACACCACACACCACACACACCCACACCCACAGCCAACAAGAGGTCGCATGTGAACTGGTTTTACTTGAGCCGCAAAAATTAAATCCTTAATCACATAACGCAGACGCTCAAGTGAGACAAAACAGGCAAAAGGATATGCGACGGCTGCCAGTGCTGCTGCTTCCGTGTGGTCCCAAAGGCAGTAAAAAAAAAAAAAAAAAACAGACGTGTTGTTGTTGAGCTTATGATATTATTGCACTTGTCACACGCACGCAGATACAGGCAGAGAGAAAGGGAGATGCAATGCCATAAAGTATGCAAAGTTTTATGGCAGCGCAAATGAAAACAGCAAACAGCAAGAATTGCCAGAAGGGGTTGTGTTTGTAGAAGGATTGAGCTTAGAGCAGAAGGGTAAAGGTATGTGCATATGCAGGTCCTTACAAAGGCATGCCAATGCAGCTCAACTCTGCTTAATGTGCTCTCTCCTTCTGCCTGGCTCTGTGCGAAAATATGTCAGCTGCGGCTTACGTGGCGTATGCGTAATATTTGTGTGTGACCTGCCTTCAGCTCAAATCAAATTTGCACATGCATTGAAATGTTAGAGACCAAGTGCTATGGCATGTGGAAGACACAACAAGCAACCCTTAACGAATGCATCCAAGTCCTGGCTGGCTGGCTGACTGGCTGTTTGTCCTGTCATCGTTATTGCTTTTGGGAATATGGATGGCACGCGCCGCACCTCCATTTGCCCATTTCCATTTGCATTTGCAAGTCTCAAACTCAGCATTCGCTCTCTGTTTTATACATTTTAATTTGAAAGAGCGACTACTCGACTCCTTGACTAGGGGTTGCTCAACAGCCTCCAAGCACGACCGCAGCTTGACTGACTGCCTGCCTGGCGAGCCCGACGAGCCTGACGTTTGTTTTCATGTGGCGCACATCTATTTTTTATAAGCAGACGCAATTGTTTCGAAAATGAAAGGTTAAATGTTAAATATGACTTCGAAAACAATGCCAGCGTACAGCCCTCTGCCTCCCTTCTTTGGACACACTGTCTACCCATTTCGTTGTTGGGCTGAAAGGGTTTGTCGCTTGTATCAACAACCAGGAAATGTTGTCATTGAGCGCCTCGTCCTGGTGCTGGCCCTGGCCCTGGCCCTTGGAGAGATCAACCATTGGAAACATTGTCAGTGAACTTTCGGTGTGTGTGCGTATGTCTGTGTGTGCCCGTGTGTGTATGCAAAAGAGTTTTGGGAATAGATGGCAACTTTTTGGCATCGATTTGAAATTGAGAGAGTGTGTGGCAGCAAAGTTGACTAAATGAGAATTGAAACTGAGTGCTAAGGATAAGAATGTGGCTGGCATTTGTAATATGTAAATGGTATGTACATACGTGCGGAGAACTTCAGATCGAACGGGGATTACTTAAGTACAGACAATAAAACTAACTGCAGAGAAAAGCTTTAGAAAAGTATGAAGAAACACTTTTTGTTCTTAGTATAGAAATATATTTACATCTATTTTTTATGATGTACGCTGAGTACTTCTTTCCGAACTTTTCTTGATTCCCGCCTAAGCCAAAGACTTTTGTCTTATTCGTGAATACTACTACTAAAAACCTTTTTATAAGCCAAAAAAAACTTATTTAGCGCCTAAAATAGTATAGATAATGAACACTTGGCCAACATTTATTTTTGTGGTCTATTTGAAAACTCTCGGCGAGGAACTTCCTGGACTATTTTCCAGCATTTTGCTGACTCGCTGTGCGCGCAACTTTTGCTTGGCCAAACAAATTGCAACTGAACAATTGTGGCTTAAACTTTCGAGAGAAAATGCAAATGAATGCGAATAACTAACATGATCATGATTTAAGTACCGCTTAGATTGTGCAGGGGATGGGGCGTATCTAACACCAGCCGCGTGGCATTCAATTCAATTAAAAACTGCTGACGCAGCGTTCGACAGGATGCGCAAAACAAAAGATAAAGTCCTCCAAAGTGTGTGTGTGTGTGTGGGGGGGGGGGGGGGGATTGTGGAGGGAAACGAATTGGAGTGTTGCTGATGTGGCAGCCATTAGAAGCAGAAGTGGAAACTTGGCCTTAAGGATCTGTGGGCTCTGCGTAATTACAATAAAACTAGGCAGAAGCTACTAGGGAATGGAAGAGAGGGAAGGAGCGAGAGAGAGAGAGAGAGAGGGCCATAACAGCAAATTACATAAATGACATGCTGATTAGGACGAACAAATATCCTGTTACTATCTAAGTCCTTGCCTTGATTATGCAATTTTAATTAAAGACACAAAACAAAGGCAATTCTCAGGGCCACATAAAAAAAAGGGAGAAAAGAAAAGAATTGTCAACACACGCTGAGCATCAATGTTGATGTTTATGATTTCTTTTTTCGTCCTTTGTGGCCCTGGGCACTTTTAATTCAATTACGCTTTGTGTTATCAGACATGGCCGGCAAAAGGACGGCGCTAGAAATTAATGAGCGCTAAATTAGTGAAGATTATGCCATTAGGGGTTGCTACCCCTACCTCTACCCCTACCCTTCTCTCCACCATCCCTCTCTCTACCCGCTCTCTCTGTCTCTCTCCTCTCGCTCACTTGTCTTGCCTTGTTCACAGCCTAGTCGCCTGCTCATCAACTCTCGGCATTGTCTTGCTGATTTTTATTGTTTACTTGACCTAGTTTCGTCTCCGACTGCCTATTTGACAGGCACCCCTAATGTCCTACCCCTAGCAAACATTCGACTTGCCTCAGCCTGTGTGTCTGTCTGTCTTTCGCTTCCATTCTTTTTGCCACACACACAAAAATGCGCTCATAAGTTTGGCAAAGCACTTTGTGGCTTGCCCTCGCAATGGCCAGCAATCGAAATTTATATGAAAAATAGCCTCAGCTATGGGAATGCTGGAAAAGTAATGCAGGTAAATGACAGCAGCACAGGATGAAAGATCCTTTGGCCCTCGATGTTGCGCAACTATTTTAATATGCATTTCTGAGCACTGCCAACAGCCAATTGAAATTTATGACTCACATGCGCTCAAATAAATTTTGCCATTTTTCGTCTGGGAATTTGTTTACGGGCAAAGGTCAAATATGTTCCACATGCATAAAATGTTTATTAAAGAAATTTACAAGCTAACTTGTTTACAGCTTAAAGCACCAGTTTATCGAAAATATTTATATACTTAATCTATGGTTGAAATATTGACTAGCCATATACAATACTTTAAAACAATTTATCACACTTTTATTTTACTTGCAAGCAAGTTAAGTAGGCTGTTGGCTTAGCTATTAAATATTAACTATGCCAAAGACATTTAAATGTGCTTTAGATATGCAAAGTTGTAAGCACAAAGTCAATTTCTATTAGAAATAAAAGTTAAATTGCCAAATGCATTTCCTTTTTGAAAATTAATATTATGTATATTTAAAGGCATGTACGAAGCAAATGCCCGGAGTTGCGCCTAAATGAATAATTAAAATGAATTGTGTTTGTAACCTGTTTTGGCACTATTTCAACTTATGCAACAAAAAAATCATATTCTTATTATAATTCATAAAAATATTCTGTTCCAATAATCAAATGAAAACAAAAATTTAATAATAATAGTTAACAGCCAAAAATAAAAGGTTTCACTCAAGTTTCAGCATTTTAAATGGATTCAATCAGCCTAACTTCTACATAAATCGATGACATCTTTTAGTTCTTCTGTAGCTGGAATGGCAAAATTCTCGCACTTGCTCGTGGGTCAGTTTATGGCCCAAAGATAAGCAATAAGTAGCTAGGCGATTACAAAGAGAAAAAAAAACGAAATAATTTAATAAAGAAAATGTCCCCCAGAAGTCAGCGACCCAGTGACCTTTTTCTTCTCATTGTGTGGCTGTTGGAAAATGGACAGCATAAATAAAAAATGGTACTACATTTTGGCACATTACACAGAATAAACGACGAAAGCGAAAAGGAAAGAAAAAACAAAGTTAACTGCAGAAGGGGCAGTTGGCTGACAGCATAGTCCAATATCCTGGACTAGTCCTAAGCGCCTGACCAGACTCTGATAAAAACTGTGAAAAGCTGTCAAAATGCTCGGGCTATTTTCGAGGAGAGGGCGAGATATGGCGAGGGTGGGAAAGTGTTCAACTGCCGCTGGTAATCAATTCTGGCCGAGAACGTACAAAGCCAAGCATTTTTCAAGCCAAAAAGTGGCTGGAAGGCAGCGGCAGCAGCAGCTTAATTAGTTGCCACGTACGGGGCATAACTCAAAAAGGGTGGACTATTAATCTAAATTATTTCGTTAGCCAAGCAAACAAATTAAAAATAAATGTTGACCCAAAGCAGGCTAAAAAGTCAACAACTTAAAAAAAAAGCAAATTGTTTGACTCTTAAAGGTCGAGGGTTCGACAGGTGTCGCAAA